GCAACCAACGGCAATCATTGGGCTCAAGAGTTGTTGCTGCTTTTTTGCAACCGCGCGCTAATGCGTTGGGTGATTGTCGTCCCCACAAACCCCGAAAAACAGCACTACGAGGCACTTTGAGAGTGACCTTTAAATGAGATTTACTGCCCGTTTTGCCCCTCTTCTGCCGGGTAACACAGTGTAACAGCCTTTGCTCTGCTTTGCTTTTCCACCGCCATTGACGCCGTCGCCGCACACACTACTCGGCCTCTGGAGCGCTTTGATTACCGCAGAGAATTAAACTTTAATGACAGTATAGTTTTCTTCTTCTTTCACTGTATTTGGTTTCCTTCGGTTTCTAATGTCCGTTTTTCTTTCCTTCTTTTACTTCTTTCACAGGCAAACGAAATGTCGGTCTACAACAGTTTCTTGAGACGCAAGAAACTGAAAATGCAGAGGTGGAGACTTCTTCAAATGACGGCGTCAGTGGTGCCAGCGATGACTTGCTGCTCAGTGAAACTCAAGCTCAAGTGCTCGACGTGGATCGACTGAAGAGCTACTTTGAGTATGATGAAATTTCTGCCGCTGATGCGCCTCCCTCAGGCATCTCCAAAAGTCAAGAGGCAGCTGAAGAGGGTGACTTGGCCAGTGCTGCTGCTGCTGCAAACGAGGTTGACAGCAAAACGGCAAATGCAAATGATGCTGATGACGGCGGCCAGGTTTCCTTTCGAATTCGACGCCTTCAGCAGACGATGGACAAGACGAGCAGCAAGGACAGTAAAGACAGTAAAGACAGCGGCAAAGGCAACAAAAATGTCAGTAAAGTGGGCAATGGAAAGAGTCAAGATGCAGCATCGGGAAAGAAGAAGACAAACACGTAAGTGAAGCGATGCAGCGAATGGAGTGGATGCTCAGCACGGATGATCACCCGCGCTCAGGACTCGCTCGCAATTAGCACTAATGGAATGTCATTTTTGCTCTTCTTTTTTCCCTTTTCTTCCTTCTTTTCGTTCTCATCTTGTTCTCGCCTTCTCGTCTTTTTGTCAACCCGACACTGACGCATAGCAGAGTGGGCAACAAAACAGCAACCCCAAATGCGCCTAAAGCTGCCGTCCCGACCAGCAAGTCACCCGTGCTGATCAAGCTGATAGAGCCGACGACGGAGGTCATCTGCTCTCCACCGGCCTACAAGGAGTTTCCGCCTGACATCTTTGGCGACCGGGCCCGTTCTGCCGGCGCCGTCATCTTCCACATTGCCATCATCCTCTACATGTTCTACTGTCTGGCCATTGTCTGCGAAGACTACTTTCTGCCCTCTCTGGAGCAGTGCTGCCAAGTAAGTGCTGTTCAGTAGTGGTAGTCTGGTGCTCGATGAAAGAAGAAGGACAGTCTCCTCAAGGCTAGGCAATTACTCAAATTAGTTGTCCGACTGGAAGGAAACAGAAAAGCGGGCAAAAAACGGTCAATGCGTAATCTAATAAGCAGATAAATGACAGTGTGTACTTGTTACGAGAGCACACTCTAACTCTTTCTCTACCTTTTTTGTTTTGAAACACTTTTAGCGTCTGAATCTGTCGCAAGACGTTGCAGGTAAGTGCTGCTGCTGCTGCTCCGATTGCATGACCATTTAGCTGCCCATTTCCTGTCCATTTAACCGACTAACTAACTGATTACCTCTTTCTCTTTCTTCAGGTGCTACCTTCATGGCGGCCGGCTCCAGTGCTCCTGAGCTCTTCACGGCCATTCTGGGCGTCTTCATCGCCAAGGGCGACGTGGGCACGGGCACCATCGTCGGCTCGGCCGTCTTCAACATTCTCTTTGTCATTGGCCTCTGTTCGCTCTACACTGGTTAGTAGTAGTAGAACTAGAGATTCCGGCGTCTAAAAAGTGCAGCTTTCACAGTATCCACTAATGGCAGCACTTAGAGAACTTCTCTCTCTCTCCTGTGACTACTGTTTACTCATTCTGTTTGTTTTTTCTTCCTCTTCTACTTTCTCCTTTTTCGTTTCTTTTTCCTTCTCAATTGTCTCCGCTTGCCACTGCTGCTGCTGCTGCTGCTGTTCACCCAATTTACAATCCTGCTGAACACACACACAACCAACACAACACAGTTTCCACTGAACTTAACTGGTGGCCTGTCGCCAGGGACACAGGTAACGCAATCAATCACTGGCCCATTCTCCGGTGCTGTTGACACTAATCGTTGCACCCTTTCCTTTCGTCTCCACAGCCTACTACACCTTCACTGTCTTTGCACTGATCATCGTAAGTGTCATCAAAACCGCCGCCACCACCACACAAAGTGGCCAATCACTCAGTTTGAGTACTAACTAATCCTTCTTCTCATCCTATTCAGTGCATCTACGACGGCGAGGTGTCTACCTACGAGTCCTTCTTCATGCTCCTCCTCTACGGCGTCTACATTCTGATCATGAACAACAACATTCGCCTGCGCGATGCCGTCCTTCACCTGTGGGAAACGCATTTTCCCCAGTTTCAGCAGCAGTTCCTCAACAAAGCCACCGCCGGGGCTGGAGGATTAGAGGGAGGAGGAGGAGGAGGCCTAGATGAGCTTAACAATCTCAAGGGGGCGAGTGGCCACGGCGGCAGTGCCCTTCAGGCCGTCCACCACTACCAGTCATTTCGAGGTGGCAATGGCGATTTAGAATACGGCGGTGAACAGCCGACGCTGGCGGAGACACGCAATCCCTTTGTCGTCCGCATGCCGGAAATCACCATCTTCGAAGCGGCCAACCAAGTCATTGTCATGCACAAACGACTTTTCAGAGGAATAACGAGGTTTCGTTCTGCTGCCTACCTCGTCATGATTCGCTCCAAAAAGGGTAAGTTGATGATGAAACAGGCCGCTTTCGTGCAGTGCATATTTGACTAACGTCGTCGTTGTTGTTTACCTTTCCAGCCAAGGCAAAGAAGGACAACTTCTACAGTGAGCTGAACCGAGCCATGTCGATGGACGAGGCGCGGAAGATGTCTCGCATCGGCCCTGATGAGAGCTTCTGGCGGAAGGTGCCCGATCCCAGTGAGTTTTGCCCCAAATGTTTTGAGTTGTTTTTTCTAAAGCTATCTTTCTTTTCTCCTCATCAGACGTCGACGGTTTTCCCTACACGGCCAAGTGGGCCGTCCAGGCACCGCTGCACGCCGTCCTCTTCTACACCATTCCCGACTGCAAGGAGAAGAGCCACCTCTTCCTCGTCACCTTCTTCGCCTCCATCACCTGGACGGCCATCTTCAGCTATGTGATGGTGTGGATGGTGACGCTGATCGGCTTCACCTTTGGCATTCCCGACAGCATCATGGGCATCACCTTCTTGGCGGCGGGCACCTCCGTTCCGGACGCCTACGCCAGTCTGCACGTGGCAAAGCTAGGTCAGGCGGACATGGCCGTCAGTAACAGCATCGGCAGCAATGTCTTTGACATTCTGGTGGGCCTGGCGCTGCCCTGGTTTGTGGAGACGGCCATCGTCTCGCCTGGGGCCGTTTCGAAGATCAACAGCCGCGGTCTGGTGTACGCCGTCATACTGCTCTTCCTCTCGCTAGTCATCACCGTGTACCTCTTTCACCGGTACCGCTGGACGCTCTGTCCCAGTTTGGGCTACGCCCTCCTTAGCACCTACGCCGCGTTTCTCGTTTTCAGCTCGGCTCTGGAGTTTAACCTCTTTGGTAAGTGTTTTTGTTTGCTGTGTTGTTATCAAAGTTTGACTGTGTGCTTCCTTGTGCTTGTTCAGGTTACGTCAATCCGCCGATGTGTGACAAGTAAAGCTTTTCTCTTCAACCTGATCTCAAACTCCGTGCCCTTCTCTTTCTTTCTCTCTTTTTCTCTTGAAACCTTCTCTTCAACAACACTTTTCTGTTTCCTCTGTCTCCCCTTGTGCTTACGTGTCTTTGGTCTATTCAGGCCAGACTCAAACTCAAATTGAAACTCTTTCTTTGTGTGTCTGTTTTGGTTTGTCTTGAAACCCTTATCCTCAGTTCAGCCCTCTCATCCTCTCTCCCCTCCCTTTCTTCACATCCTTCCGATGTGTCCTTGCTTTCTGTCGTCTCTGATGCTGCAGTAGTGAGCTGATCGATCAGCTAATCTAGAGTGCCCTTGCAATGAAACAGAGAAGATTTTCTCTCAACTCGTTGGAAACTAAATCAATCTAGTAGTTAATGATGTGCCGATGATAATCGTACTGCACCACCAATCATACGCTCATGATGCTGTGCAGGCCTCGGACTGGCTTCTGTAGGCTCACTCACTCATTTGCGAGTCAATCAACCTTGATCTTGTTAAATCTTGCTCTCTCTCTCTTNACCAATCATACGCTCATGATGCTGTGCAGGCCTCGGACTGGCTTCTGTAGGCTCACTCACTCATTTGCGAGTCAATCAACCTTGATCTTGTTAAATCTTTCTCTCTCTCTTTCTCTTTCTTCCTCTGTCCAGAAATATATGTTCTAATAACCGTTGTGAGCGATCTCCGGTGACCACTTCTCTGTGACACCTTCACCCACCCTGACACTAATTTCATTTTCATAAAACACCAAATCATAACTTTCTCCTTTGTACTTTCTAACTTTTGCTTTCAACTGTTCAACTACTGTTTCTCTACTGCATCTTATTTCATGTTATATTTCGCTTCTTTTTATTTTCTGTACCTACTGCCTTCTTCTGTTGTCTCTTTTGTTTTGCTTTTATCCCCCCACCGACCATTTTAATACCACATTGGCCAGAAACCAAAGCTATCATGGATAATAAGAATAAGAACCAAAAAGCTAATACAAATTGCAATCAACGGTGATGACGTGTTACTTTCTGGATCGTTTTAGTTGGCTGTTAGCGCATGTCAGAGAAGTAGAAAAGTTCGATTTCTGGGTGAAATGCTATAAAAGAGGCTGTCTTTTCGCCTTTGGCCACTCACTTTTTCTCGCACTCTCTTGCACGCTGACAAACGCATTGCTCAACTTTTGCACAACTACAACTGCCACGTCATGTCTACCGCCGAATCGTCCTCGTCATCTTTGGCCCCGGCTCCGGCGGAGACCTTCGCCTTTCAGGCGGAGATCGCCCAGCTGATGAGTCTGATCATCAACACCTTCTACTCGAACAAGGAGATCTTTCTGCGCGAGCTGATCAGCAACGCCAGCGACGCCCTCGACAAGATTCGCTACCAGTCGCTGACTGACGCCTCGGTCCTGGCCGCCGTTCCCGAGCTCTTCATTCGCATCACCCCCGACCGCCAGGCGGGCACCCTCACCATCCTCGACTCGGGCATCGGCATGACCAAGGCCGATCTGGTCAACTGCCTGGGCACGATCGCCCGCTCCGGAACGCGCGCCTTCCTCGAGGCGCTGGAAGCTGGCGCAGACATCAGCACCATTGGCCAGTTTGGCGTCGGCTTCTACTCTGCCTACCTGGTTGCTGAGCAGGTGACAGTGGTGACGAAGCACAACGACGACGACGCTCAGTACGTCTGGCAGTCCACTGCCAATGGCTCCTTCACCATCACAACGGACAACAGTGGCGAACACAAGTTGGGACGTGGCACCAAGGTGATCCTCAAGCTGAAAGATGACCAGCGTCATTTTCTGGAAGAGCAGCGACTTCGGGACATTGTCCTGAAGCACTCAAAGTTTGTCAATTACCCCATCTCACTGGCGGTGACCAAGGAGCGCGAGATCGAAGTGCCCACCACTTCTTCTGAAGAGGAGGAGGAGGAAGCTAAGCCTGAAGACGTCAAGAAGGATAAGGTCGAGACTGATGACGCGCCCATCATTGAGGACGTTGCTGAGGACGGCGATGAGAAGCAGCAGTCGTCTGAAGAGGCAAAGAAGAAGGAGAAGAAGAAGCCCCTGAAGGTGAAGGAGCTGTACACCGACTACGAGGAGCTGAACAAGACGAAGCCGCTCTGGCTGCGCAAGCCCTCCGAGATCAGCCAGGAAGAGTACGGCGAGTTCTACCGCAACCTGAGCAACGACTGGGAGGAGCACCTGGCGGTGAAGCACTTTCAGGTAGACGGTCAGCTGCAGTTTCGCGCGCTGCTCTTCGTGCCCAAGCGGGCGCCCTTTGACCTGTACGACGGCAAGGCGCGCCGCAACAACGTCAAGCTCTACGTGCGCCGCGTCTTTGTGATGGACAGCTGCGATGAGCTCTTTCCCAAGTACCTGCACTTCCTGAAAGGCGTCGTCGACAGCGATGACCTGCCGCTGAACATCAGCCGCGAGACGCTGCAACAGAGCAACCTCCTCAAAGTCATTCGCAAAAACCTGGTGAAGAAGAGTCTGGAGCTGTTTCGGGAGATTGCCGACGAGGAGGCGGAGATGTACCGCCTCTTCTACGAGCAGTACAGCAAAAACCTGAAGCTGGGCATCTACGAGGACCCGCTCAACCGTCCACTGTTGGCCGATCTGCTGCGCTACCCGTCGAGCAAGGGAGAGGAGGTGACGCTGAAGGAGTACGTCGGCCGCATGAAACCACAACAGAAGCAGATCTTCTACCTGGCCGGCGAGAACAAGGAGCTGGTAAGGGACCGGTGGTTTTTAAGTTCTCAATGACCACAACTTCTTTTTGCATTTTCAGCTAAAAACCTCCCCTTTTGCCGAGTCGCTGCTCGCCCGCGACTTTGAGATCCTCTATCTGACAGAGCCAATTGACGAGTACGCCATCTCCCATCTGCGCGAGTACGCCGACCACCAGCTGGTGTCGATCGTCAAAGAGGGCGTCGACCTGTGTCTGAGCGAGTCAGAGGCGGCCAAGCTGAAGGAGGCAGAGGCGGAGTACTCCGTGGCCGCAAAGGCCATGCTCGTCGTCCTCGAGAAGTACATCGACAAGGTGGTGGTCAGTGGCCGTCTGCTCACCTCGCCCTGTGTCATTGTCGCCAATCAGCACGCCCAGTCGGGCAACATGGAGCGCATCAGCCGCGGTCAGATGCTCCGCTCGCCGCCCGCCAAGGACATCTGGGGCTCGAAACGTCAACTGGAGATCAACCCCTCCCACTCGGTGATGCGTCGCCTGAAGACGCTCTACGAGGCGGACCCAAATGACCGATGCGCCCGCGACCTCACCTGGATTCTCTTTGAGACGGCGCTTCTTCAGTCGGGCTTTGCTCTGGAGGATCCCTCGGTGCACACTGAGCGCATCTACCGCATGATCATGATGGGCCTGGGCATTGACCTGGATGGCGGTGAAGAGGATGGTCAGCAGCAGTCCATCGATGGTGCCGGCGATAAAGAAGTGGGCAAAGCTGACCAGCTGACGGAGACCGGCGCCGCCGCCGATAATGAGCAAGTTGAAGCGGATGCCAGCAAGCTGCTCGAATTGGACTGAGCGAATTCTTTTCTTCTCACGGGCCACTTCTTCTACTGCAAACGATACTTTTAGGCCCTTCTATGGTTTTAGTTTTAGTAGATTGATTTGTTTGTTGTTTTACACACTTTTGTTATTGTAATTTTTATTTGAAATATTATAAAATTTTTAAACTATGAGCACA